TCTGGCATGCACTGAAAAAATTTGCCCAACATGGTATAAAGGGGATGAACACTGTAGAAAACTGGAAGGAGATGAAAAGTATAAAAGTTTGGTCTGCAGAGGAAGAATACCAGTTTTTTCTGTAAATTATGTTTGGCTACAGTTCATAAATGTCACAATCCAAATCATGAATGGGATATGTCTATCACTCTTGCGGATATGAATTCATGGGCAGAAGAAAAAAGTAATGGTCAGAGAAATCATCCTCTTATAAAGTATGACCCCATAAATGAATACACTATGGATCATCTGTTCGTAAACGGGACGTTGTTGCTTAGACGGTGGGCTACGAACGACTTACGTCGAAACGTTCCATTCAGATCGGATGGCGCCCTCTCGTGTCAATCCCCCCCTGGCGTGTATGCTAGTTTTTCTTTCAATTTGAAATTGCGCCCTCGTGCGGAGATAAAGTGTATATTGGATGGTATATCACATTTGCTGTGTGATGGTAATCTGTGTAAATTAGGGACTGTGCCATGCATGGCTTGTTACATTTCATTTTCACTTTTTTTTTTAGCCTCCTACTGAGTATAGTACAGGGGTTTTTGGATTTGGTTCTGTCTGTTCTCTCATCTGTTTGTCAATCCATTGCAGTATCTCAGTTCATGGACAAATTTTTAATTGATACATGATGTATAAGTATATACATGTATACTGTAAAACCATTTATTTTCACTATTTTAATGATTTGAGCAGATTCACTGTTTTTTTAATTTCATGAATTTGTCAAGGAAACAATGAGTTTTATTGTTAGCTCAGCTGTCGCCTCGAGCAAAGCTTATCATATGAGTGATTGTTCGTAATCGTCTGTGTCAACGTTTTACTTTTTCAACTTCTTCTTGAAAACCACAAGCCTGACTGCTTTGATACTTGGTGTATATGTACCTTGGGTAGACCTCTCTTAGATTTGTTCATTTCATGATGATATCTTTAATTCTCTAATTTTACTGAATATTTTGGTCATTTATTTTCGACTTCTTGTTGAAAACCGCAAGTCTGATTGCTTTGATACTATACATATAGGTATTATTCTTGTCAGGTGACTGTGACTTTGACCATGACTAATGTTTGATCCTAGATTATCTATCTATGTAAAGTTTGACATACTACTACGTCTTAAGTGAATAGAACATGTTTTAATTTGCATACCTAATTTGTTTTTAAAGCAAATACATTTCAATCTATATTTCTGTAATATAACATTTTATGTTGTCTTATTCTTGTCAGATGACTATGAAACTTTCTTACTTTTCAGATATACCGAATAGAAGACAGCAAATTCAAGCATTAAATCTCCTCATATTGGTATTACCTGATATATATAGACATTCTCTGAGAGTAAGTATCAGTTCAATGAGATTGCTAGTCAATATAAAATTACAGAATTTTAATTTTATTTTATTTTATTTCAGGTATTGTTGGATTTCCTGACTCAAGTAACGGAGAACGAGCCTTTTAATAAGATGACAATCATAAACGTGGCTATGATAATGGCTCCCAATTTATTTGCAGTGCAGGCACTTAGCAGTAAATCTATGTCCACGTTAGAAATGCAGCTTGCTGCGGGAACCTCAAATGTTGTCAGAATGTTGATAAACTACCGAAGGATTCTGTGGATGGTGAGTTTGTTATATTATATTTTCTCTATTTGTAATGCAAGCACTTTTGTAACGATATAGTTGTATTTATAAAGTTGTATTTTAATATTCAAGGTATACAATAAATACACTATTCGTACTATGTGTACTTCTATTGGTGATAAGTTTGTAATGGAGCAGATATTTTGTAGTGTTGTAACTGTCTCCACAGTGGCTTATTATTACACTCTGCCATTAATTGCTTCATCCCAGTCCTGTTCTTATCCTTTTTTTCACACAATGAGGGAGAGTATGTCCCCAATTACTGCTTACTGAGCACTGTCATATACATGTAAAGTCTGCATAGTCTTTTCTCATAATACAAACTGCCTAAACATTACATTCGATTACACCAACTACCACAACATCTCGCCCCCATGAATTCTGTCAAATACTTGTCTAATCGTTAAAATTGAACAATAGTATTTTTGTGACATAAAGATTTTTCGTTACAGGTGCCATCGCTTATGGTATTACAACTACGACATTTATATAACAATGAAATTAAAAATGGTAGCAGTAAAAAATCTAAAGATTCTAAGGTATGTTCCATGTGATATAGTGAATGTATTTATTGAGATAGCGCCCTCTATCAACAGCAGTTAACTTACTGTAAAATATTTTATTTTCACTTGGAATTAATTTTTCCTGAAGGACTGATTCAGAAAATGAAAATAAAATCTAGCGAATGTAACTTTTTTTCTAGATTTTACATTCAAATCATCAAAAATCAGTGAAAATAAATTCCATACAAAATACAAAAAAAGTCTTTTCAGCGAAAATTAATTCCAGGTAAAATAAAGTATTTTACAGTCTTGTTGGTATTGAATTTCTCTTTCTCTCCAGATGTGTGACCTTTAGAAGGTCATGCATGATCACATGACATTTAACTCTCTTCAAGTGTGTGCAATTTTCCCAGACAGTGTTTACATTTTTACATTTTAACATTTTATGGCTCTCATGTTTTTTAAATGTTGTCATTTTTCAAAGAACAAAAACTTGCATAATTGTTTTTGATATTTTTTTTTTAAAAAATGTTGATCCATTTCTGTATGGCCTGTGAGACATCGTGTTTATTTGATCCAAAATTAACAAAAAAAATATAGAAAATAAAATTGGCAAAATCTTGCACCTGTATTTGGACAGAAAAATATATTTTTTCAAGCACATAAAGGAATCCTAAAATTTATTTATATTTTTTTTCTGCATAGTATATGAACTTTTTTCACAGTAGTAGGAAAGGCAGGGATGACAGCATTAAAAAGGTAAGCAACCTGTAAGGCTACTGTTATCTTGTTAGTTTTATAAAATAATCTTAATTTTAGGCCTACTTTTTTTATCAAAAGTTTTCACAAGCATCTCCATGGAAACATTTATAATCATACAGGACTATAATGTAGAAGAAGACTTAAATGACAGTGGTGGTGAGAAGGCAAATTGTGAAACATTTTAAAAACTTTGATTTTTTGTTTTTATTTTTGTAGAGTGATTACAAGGAAGGGGTGATTCGTGTTCAGGCTCCCCAATTTACACAGATTACCATCAGCATGCAGTTAACAGATACCACGACGGCGGCTGATGTTGTTGCCAAATTCAAACGAAGCACTGTCATTACAGAAACAGAAAGGTTAGTAC